ATATATACACACATACATATATATATATTATCAATAACAACATTTTATTGTTATTTTTCTCATTAATATACCTATTAATACCCCAACATATTTTAATATTCAAGGAACTACATGGATGCAGGAGATTGTTTCGGTTCTCTTCCACGGCTGCGATATCCAAAAAGCGGACGAAGTCAGCATTTGGAAACGTTTTGTGTTTCTTGACCAACAAAAAAAGGACGCACATGTATCGCCGCATGATGAAGCTACGAGAAAGCCATCACCTAGACTCATTAAAACGCATCTACCACCCCAACACATGGCGAAGCAGCTAACCATAAAGAGACCAAAGGCAAGATTCAATGACACCATTGAAACCGCACAGCATTATATTGACCATTTAGTTCATCTTCTGCAATATAATTCGTAATTATTTTCTTTTAGATTGTGTATGTCGGAAGAAACCCCAAGGATAATGCAGTATCACTCTATAATTTTTATCGAGCCAATACATATCTAAGAACGTACGAAACCTGGAATGAATTCTTTGAAGCTTTCTGCGCTGATGACGGTTGTTATGACTTCGTATATTATTACATTAACGTCTAATTAAAATAATATAATAAATTATTTTTTAAAGCTACATTTCCACTTTAAAAAAAAAACAAAAAAAAAAAAACAGAAAATAAATCTTAAAACGCTACACCTACCTGCTTTGAAAAACCTTGGTTATATTTAAAATATATTTCAATTAAAAATTTTTAAATTCAATTATTAATTATATAATACAATAATATGCTTATGATTTTATTTCTTTATTCTGAATACATAAATAGAATAAAAACCCAATCCCTAAGTACCTAACTGGCAAACTTATTTCCATTCCAAAACATTAAATACAGAACAAGAAACAATCAAGCGAAAACTAACAAACATTATTTTATTTATTGTAGTGATTTATGGTTCCTGGTTTGATATGAATATATACTGGTGGAACTTACGGAACGAGGACAACGTTTTGTTTATCAAATATGAAGACATGAAGAAGGTATGTAAATTTACTAGATAGGTCTATGCAGCGGCTTACAAAAGGCATGCTAGCCTTGGGCATAGGTTGGCAGATCATACAAACTCGCACACTGTTTTTGGTTGTGATAATTTATGTACGAAAGTGCGTTCTTCAGGTCTATCGGTTCATCAATCCATTGAAGAAAGACTACGTATCCAACTACTGAATATTGTTGGAAATTAATATATTGCCTATGTCTTTTATTTCTTTTCTCTATGTATTGGCCTAAAGATTAGATAAACTTACCTGACCTTTTTCAAGAGGGGGAAACCTTGAATTTTGAAACTTAAAAAAGTCATTAAAAGACTCCCCAGGCGTCGGGAAAGCTCGTTTCTAGCCCTCCTTTCATTTTTGGGGTTTTTGTAAACATTTTGAACCCCCTCATTCAAATCCTGGATCCGCCCCGTATATTATTTTTATTGTCATGTCATGGTAGACGATATTGTACAGGGAAGACTCCCGTTTGTCTCCCACCTTTAGACTAGGCCGATTTGAGGAAAATAAAATTATGAATTATGAACACAGTATTTGGGGATTTGTTTAAATAAGTTATTGTTATCCAATTTGTTCAAAGGATCTTGCAAGTGTGATAGAAGGAGTCTCCGAGTTCTTTGGCTGGCCAATTTCTGATGGAAAACTACAAGATATTGTAAAACACTGCACATTTGACTCTATGAAGAAAAATCCAAAAGCTAACCTTTCAGACAATAAACATATTGACCAATCAATATCCGCCTTTCTGAGAAAAGGTTTGTTTAATCATCGACCAATCAAAATATGTCTCTCATTGAGGTCGATAATGTTTTTTTGTCTTTTGTTTTTCTTCTCTCTTTATAGATCAAATACTGACGTACTTTGTATGTATCGCAGGGTTGCATAACCCTCTTTATGAGGCTTAGGAAAATGCAGGTTTTTTTAATTGTCGTCAGAAAATGTTCTGCTGAAAATCAGGGGTCCCAAGTCTCCGAAAGTCGCGGGAGTCTCATGGAAATCCCGCAAGCGAGAATCTCCAGGAATTCTTAATAGTTGCATCAAAGAGTATGGTTGCATGTTTTTTTACAACTTTATTATCAATTGTCTCACGGAAGTCAGTGCCGATGGGTATCACACCATGCGCAGCAAAATAAAATTCAATATGTTAGTAAAGCTCATTTAACCGGCTCTCCTGGAAGCGAAAACGTGGAAAAGTGAAATTGAATCCAGGATCCTGGGGTTCGATTGCAAGCATCTTCAACCACTAAGCTATACAATCCCACTCCACAATTAAAAAAAAAGCGTTATGACCACTCTAACATCTATGTCTTGAACTGACTGGCATCCTTAATGATACATTTCTTTCTATCATTTAGGTGAAGTGGGAGACTGGAAAAATTACTTTACAAAGGCTCAGAATACGAAATTTGACAAAAAGTACGCCGAGAAGATGAATGGTTCAAGTCTCACATTTGAATTCGAATTATAAACGAAAAAATACCGTTTGTGTACTGTATATCTAAAGTTCATAATTTAGTAAAATCAGTTATTAAAATGCATGTCTAGTATATTAGTTTCACAATTTACTGTAATTATAATTTAATTTTGCCTCCGATTTAGTACTGTAATTCTAATTATATTTCGTTGTCATTCCTTTTCTCTTTCAATCTTTCTTTTATTTACTTCTCGTACTAGATTTTTATTTTCCTATTCTCTTTTCTATTTCTTTTTTCCTTTCCCTTTTTTACTTTTCCTACTACTTTCTAATTCTTTTTATTGTGACTAGTGGTTACGCAAGCACACGAATATAATGAAGTAACAGTTTATTAATATTTAAGATGCATCTTGAGATGATTACCATTTCAAGTTGCAACTATTTGAGTATTAAAATGGTATAATTTTTATCAACTGTATATCAGGCCTGGGATTTATCAATCTCAGCTTAGCAAATGTCTTAAGTCAAAGAAGTTAAGATGCCCCTAAGCAAATATTTTAAGCTGATTTATCAAACTATCTTAGCAAAATCTTAGCTTAAAAACCGTCTTAGATGGTGCATGAGTACAATTAACTTTTTAATTTGCAGCAATTTTTAAGCTAAGAGATATTGATAAATCTGACTTAAGCAAAAAATGGACTAGCTGATTTCTAGTTTGATAAATCTTATGACATTATGGTAACATTTATCTGTTTTACAGAAACAATGTTCTTGTAGCTCATATACATTTGAATAACACGAATAAAAAACACATAACAAATATATCTTCTTTTTAGGATAGACACTACATATTTTATTTTCTAATTGTAACTTTTTTTGTGATATCAAAAGAAAAATTAACTGAAAATATACAAACACCACTAGATTAATATGTGATCAAATTTATCAATAGATCTCTTGCAGCAATTTTTTACCTACATAATTTAGTCTCAAAAATCTGTAAAACGTTTTTAGACACCTACTAACAATAAAGCTAGACATATACTTTCAAAATTTTGTCAGACTAAACAGATACTGACTGATTTAAAGACTTGCCCAGACTATCAAATTTTGTCATGATGACATCACATCATGACCATATATAGGCACATTGTGACTATATATGGGCATACAGCAGTTTTTTGTCAAAGAATATATGATAGTCTGGATAGAGCATTACAATATACAGTTTGGTACATACTTGTTTCAGATATATCCGATGAAACGAGTATCTCTCATGGATATTGGAAGTGGGACAAATCTGTACTTTATGAGACAAAGCCAGATCGAATGTTGTTTGATTAAACTCCATCCACACTATAAAGTTTTTTTGACAGATTTGTGTGAACTGCGCATATATGAGCAAGATGATGTCTTATCACAACCATATATGATCATGATGTTATACCACATCCATATATGGGCAAAATGATGTCATATACACATAAATGGGCAAATAACAGTGGACAGAGTTTGACAGCCTCAAATTTCCAGCATGATACTTAAATGTAATAGTTGGTAATTATTCATATAATTCTGGTTATTAATAATTTCATTTGTATCTGTTTGCATATCAAGCTTCTTATCTAAACATAAATAAATATAATACCTATGCTGTATTCTACAACAGACTCGGTGTTCAGTGTGGTTGTGCGTCGAGAAGGGCTGAGAAATTAACACTAAGCCTGGATTCAATAAAATCGCTACAGAGTGTTCTCATTGCAATCTTTACACTGTGTAGCTGTCCCTGATGCAATCAGGAAGGCTCCCTAATTTCGACCGACTAATCGGTGTCATTAATAGCTGTTGGTGATTGCGTGTAGCAATTTTTTTGAAACTAGTCTTTATAGACATTATCTTCAAATCAATGATATAGAAAACAAATTTGCAGTGATTCTCAAAATTACAACAGAATTCTCATCTGGCCTTGAGGAAGATTTACCTTTGCATGGACAGTTGGAATTCTCTCCCAAACCATATTTTGACAACCACTCTAAAGCATTTGAAAATGATGTAGATAATGTTCAGAAAGAAACAGTAAAGTAAAACATGGCCAGTTGACAACACAGCAGAGTTACCCAGTGTTTGGATCTGAACATAGAGGACTTAGTCTTGTGTCTAGTACATCAGCTAATACAGATACACTCAATACATATCAAACAAAGTTACAAAAACTATAAATGTTCGAGACAGACGTTGCAAAATTAAGATATTTCTAAATTATCTTTCCATGATACTAAATTTCCTGATGTTTTCAATTTTCGTAATAGCTGGTTAGTTTGGGAAGCCTTCTTCCAAAGATGGCATAACAGTCAAACTTCGAGACAATCTGAAAGGGAAATAAATATCTCAAAATTTATTTACAATAATATTAGGATAAATACAGTAATAATAGTACTAATAGTACCAATAATAACAATGCAATAATAACAATAACAATAAACACATGAGCTATAAAAATCAAATTACTTACTTCTTTGTTTTTAAGTTTTTAGTTTTCAGTAAAAATGTTTGCTGCTAATTAAATTATGTATAAATAATGCTGTTTGTACATATTGTTTACAAAGACTCTGAAGACAAAATAATGGCATGAGATGAAAAATTTAACAAGAGGGATTAATTGCCACATACCCTTGAAATGCGTCCTTTATCTCATCGACTTTGCTTGTCTGGCAACACACGGCACATCTAGACATGCTGTTGTCAAACAGTGGTTTGATGTACTTGTCCCCGATGCGTTGAAGATCTGATTTCTTAACCTTTGCAATCTCCTTCAACAAATTTCTGTTCAGGAAGGAAAAATATTCTATCATTCATCATACAATTAATAAGGGTTAAAGGTTATGCTTTTTTACCATACAAAATACGAGGGTCTCTATGTGCAAAAGCAAGTGAACAGATGTAATTGGAAAAACGAGGAAAGAAGAACCCCAAGCCAGCAACCAAACTGTGGGTTGTGAGGTGCCAAATTATGTGGGGTGCAGAGCTTCATATCTGTAAAGAAAGGCACTTCATATATGACTATATTGGATTGGATACACTCTTGTCGCTGAGCAGGGATCTGTCAGAATGTACAATGTCCAGCACCAGTTTTTTTTTTTTTTCTCTTTTGTGGGATCGTCCCACTTTTATTTCATCATAATGTCTTAACCTACATAGATATATTACACATAACATATAGTCTACATTTTAACAGTTATTATATATATTAAGTAAATAATAGTATGAAATATATATCTGTAATGAAAATACTTAGTACATGTCTCTTTACTGTTCTACATAATAAGTGTTCAGATATCGACTATTGTATTCTTTATTTATTTTTTTTTATCATTTTCTTCAATTGCTTGTCTTCCGTAGAAGTCAACCATCACACATTTATTTATACATATATTTATTTAAACTTATCTAGATCGACCATAGACCATTTATTTTTTGCTTTTTCATTATTAATTAAAAATTCACATGTAATTAGCCTGTTTAGTTCAGATAAAAACATCACCCAAGGACATTTTGTCCTCAAACATAATATATTCATTATTTTAACTTTATAAATACAAAACGTCAAAATTGAAATCATTTCGTTCACTCTTTCGCTATAGCTTCCAATAACGATTTTTTTCCATTGTAAGTTATCATAGATTTTAAAACATGATCGCATCATAGTGTGTAATTTCGTCCAACATGCTTCTATATATTTGCATTTAAATAGCATGTGCTCTTCATTTTCAGTAATATTACAATACTCACATAGATTGGTTGCAGATAATTTCCATACATTTAGTCTATGTTTTGTAGGTAATAGTCTATGTAAAAATTTAAAATTGAACTGTGCAATTTTTTTTATATGTAATATTGAATTAATTTTACTCTTCCAACATAGGTCCCAGTCTATTGCATCCATTTGTAACTCCATTTCCCACCTTTTTTGAGCATTTGGTATAATATATTTACTTTTAGTTTACTTATGGAAGGTGTATCAATAATTTGAACATTTCTGTGCACTAAACAAAAAGGTTGGTGTGCTACAATCTTTTTCCAGTTTTTTGGAATTGCATTCATTAACACCGTGTATTCTATCATACCATTTTCTGTTTTTAAAAGCTGAGGGATAATTTCACCCAGTTTTTTAAATCTATTATCAACAATAGTATCTGATATGGTTTTAATGTGTGAGTCTACCCATGTTTTGTAGAAAACAGATTTATTTATTTATTTATTTATTTTTATGTTTTTATTTTCCCAAAGTCTTTGTTTTTTTATTTCACAGATGCATTGAGGCTGTTTTGCATGGATATTATTATATCGTGAGCAAGTAAGAAGCAACTTCCTATAAAATACTGGCATTTTATTTAGCGCTAAATGCTTATCTAAATTTATGTCGGTTATACCTAATATATACTTTACTGGGTACATATAAAAACATGGAATGCACTTCCATTTACCGGGATCTGGACTTAAAAGTCGTTTGACCCAACCTAACTTGAGTGAGTCTAGCATTGAATTAATGTCTATCATATTTAGACCTCCTTTGTTTAGCTCTTGGATGATCGTGTTTAATTGCTTATGCTTATTTCTTCTTTTGCAAATAACACAGTATCATCAGCTATTTGAGCTATTTTTACATTCTCTGTTTCATGAAATGATGGTAGACCTTGACACAATGCGTTGTTTCGTATATTAATTGCCATTAATTCTACTACTAAAACAAATAACAAGGCTGAAAGGGGACATCCTTGACGGATCCCACATTTCATACAAAAACTCTCGGATATCCATCCGTTGTTAATTGTGAAGCACTCCGTGTCAGTATACAAAACCTCTACCTAATATATAAAACTTTTACCAAACCCAAAACTTATTAACGCTTTAATCATGAATCGCCTATCAACAGAGTCGAAAGCTTTGGCGAAATCTAAAAAAATGAGGGCTCCCTCTTTATTATTTGCTTCGGTATATTCAAGCAAATCATCAATTAACCTAATGCTTTCGCCAGCAAATCTCCCCTGAATATATCCCTTTTGGTCATTATTTACAATAGTACTAATTACTGCCTGTATTCTTGTAGCAAGCACATTGGCTGCAATTTTATAATCGACATTAAGTAGGGTTATTGGTCTCCAGTTTTCCAGATTCTCTCTTTCCCCTTTTTTATACAATAACGTGATTATACCATAATGATATACTTATTATTTACATAGCTAAAATTTAGGGTATCACATAGTAGGTTACTGATTGATTACTAATTCCAAAAATAACGATAAAACTCTACAGTTAGTCCGTCAGTACCTGGACTTTTGTTTAACTTCATTTTAGAAACAGCATTCTCACACTCTTCAACTGTTATCAATCCTTCGCACTTGTTTTTATCTTCAGTTGTGAGTTTATTGGTGAATGAATTGTCAACATAATTGTTAATACATATTTCGGAGATGTGTTTATTTTTACATAGTTGCTTAAAAAATATAATTTGCTCAATTAAAATTTGTTCTGTTTCAGATGTGTATTTCCCGTTGCTTTTTCTCAAAGATGTGATATGTTTTTGTTTTGCATTATTTTTTTCTAATCCTAGAAAAAATTTGTTATTTTTTCTCTCTTTTCAAACCATTCTAGTCTGGACCTAATTTGAGCTCCCTTTGCTTCAAGTAAGTATATATCATCTAATTCTTTTATTTTGTTGTGTAATATATTATCTGTATTGTTGTCATAGCTTTTATCTATGTTCAGCACGAGTTGTTAAATAATAAAATTTTCATATCATATGATATGGCAGATATAAATTTTAATTACATCATGGTACTACATCATCGACTTACAATTAGCAAACAGTTCGTTTTCATAATATTATTTTACTGCTTGCAAATATACATGATCATAATAATAATAACAATTTATATTTATACATTGCAGTGCCTTTATGTGCTTTACATATCATCCCATTACCTGGCATTATGTCAAAAGTTGACATGAAATCAATTTACACATGATGATCTCACCTGTTGTAGTCTTTGTTAGTTCGTCTGAGGTAACTCACGAGAGATTCTTCGGATGTAGATGCCACGGTCTCCTCCCGTTCAATCACTTCGTAGAGGACGCTACTAACCGCTGCCTCAAACTGCACATCTTCAAAAACAGTATCACCACTCAAATATCCATCCTACAGAAAAAATGCAAAAAAATCTTAGAACACGTCCAGCAAAGGAAGATGTTATTCTTCCTAGAGGGATAACTATTAAATTGTTTCCTCATTATAGGAAATAGTTAATACATTAGCAAAGTGACATTAAAACAGAAAATCATTTCATATCCTACAGAAGCATGTGTTGCATACTTTTATGTTGTTGGTTTGAGGCACCTTAAGATGGTCACTCAATGCGCACTCGTCAATGGAAAACAAAACACTACAACGCGTGCTCATCGATCATTTTTAATGACGAATGGTTCAGACTGCCACTGACAATCAGCAGATGCTGTCGCGTTGTCTAGTGCTCAATGGGAGCGGGCTTTCATTCGTCCTACGACACAACAAATGCCAGGCTTTAGAATCAAAATCTAAAGGGGGAGGGGGGTGGGGCTTAGCAGTAAGGTTCATTGGTCAAATGATCAACATATAACTCACCACAATTTCTTTAGCCTGCTTATAAGCATTGACAACATGTGTACACTTGAAGAGTTGGAAGAAGAGAAGGCCTTGCTCTGGTTGTACATACATGCGATAGTGGTATGCTAGGCCCAGTCCTCTGATCTGCCGCCACATTGGGCCCTGCAAAATGCACCGAACATAAATTGCTTATTTGTATATGTATTAGCTTAATTAGCTTTTAATAAATGACAGAATGACTTTCTTAACTTGCTTAAAATTGACAGACCTGCTCAATCTTTTGAAAAAGAAGAAAAAGAAAAATGAATTGATGTAAAGTGTTGAAAAAAAAAAGACTTTGGAAAGTCAAATATCTAAAACAGTACCTCAAGAGCACAGAGGTATTCCATGTAAACCATCAAAGCCGGAAGATCAGGATCTGTGTAAGACGAAATGGACGGAATAGTCTGGATAAAAAAGGCAGACTCAACAGATCCAACTCCAACTATTACTCCGGTTGGAGCTCCTTCAGATGGTGGACGGATAATTTGATTAGTCAACTGCTGCACCTGGGTGCTATTATAGAAACAAATAAAATATTAAAATATTTTACTTTAGTTTGGTTTATAATAGTGTTGATAATTTTAAAAAGCAAATGCAACCGATAACAAAATTAGAATATTCTACACCCTCAGGGATTAATGATTCATAGAAAGTATGATGTAAGTTACCTACATTTAAATATACAGAAATACAACACATTTTTTATGCAATAATTTAACCTTCATGCAATAATATTCAACTGGTGTATGTTATACAACTATACTAACTGCTTAGAAGCATATTTATTGAATACCTACTGTTTTTGAGCACTGCTCAAGTTACTAGGCAGGAAGGATTCCCATGGTGCAGTGGGAGAGGTAATTGCAGCAAGTTTCTTCAGGTCAGTCGCCATGTGTACACGTATATTTGATGGCAAAGTTAAAATCTCACGCAACTCGATTAAGTTCTTCAACACCTGCAATTATAATACATTGTACATATTACGTTCTGAATTCTATTTGATGGGGTGCTTACAGAAAGGGAATATGGATTTGTTAGCCAACGAAAAAGTCTTTATGATCATTGGTTTATTATAATATACATATAGATACCTGATCAGGTTCGGTATCAAGTTTAGCTACTAATTCACTCAGGAACTTATGTTGCCGTATCATATTAGATGTGTGATGGTTGCTCTCTGTTAATTAAAAGAAAAAAATAATCACATTATTTTTTGTATCAAATACTACTTATTTCATAGTCCAAAATTACAATATCAATGAAATGAATTCAACATCAAATAAATAAATAAAAAGGCAAATATCGTGGATGAAGATAAATATTTTGACATACTGTCTTTTGTGACAGTATAAACAGAATAAAAGACATTGATCACACCCATATGCAATTCAGCACACTGATGCTGCCAAGTTATAGGTTACTTCCTACCTTTACTTTTATCATAGTAAAAATTTACTACAATCACCAGCATCACCACCATTTATGACCCTCATAAAGAAACATATGGGCAAATATTATAACCTAATTTGACATACATAAAAAAAAATCATCAATAATTACATAAAAAATAAATATGATAATCACCTTCATTAAAGTTTATATCCCGCACCACTGCAAAAGCAATAGTACGTCCTTTTCGTTTCATTTTTGCAACGTCGTTGATCATTTTTGTTGCGATGATCTTCACTCTCTCTGATTCAAAGAAGATGTTGTACATCAAATCATGGAGCCACTGGACACCTTTACAGTACTTCTCATTCTCAACCTACAAATAATGATGATAATAATAAAAAAACCAATACTTTATTGCGCCGATTCTAAGTTGGTTTTTTGATAAGACGAGAGATTTCTGTTATCTAGCATGAGTCAGTAATCAAAATTTGTCAACCACACTGATGTCAAGTACCTTAATGTTGAGGATTGCCAACTGCGTGAACTGTCCACAGTAGAACCTGGACCCATGTAATCCAATGGACGAACCAAAGTTGAGAGTGTCTGCTGCGAGCTCCGTTACCACTTTCTCATGTGAGACCAGCACTGATGATAAATTAATAGAAAATATTATTAGCAATAATAATAATAACTTTTCTATAATAAATACTTCTGCACATTACATGAATGTAGAAATAAAATATAAAACAGATATTATTGAATATATCAGTAAGTTATATTAATTAAACACATGTACCTCCATTTCTCATGATAGCCGATTCGTCAATGCAGTCTAAGTACAGTGACAAGTAGGGTTTTAAGTGCACAGGAAGGGATGCTGTATCAAGTAGAACTCGCATCTATCATAAAAAAAATAAAGTGTTCACTATGTATACCTAAAAGTCAAAAGGTCAGTGGAACAGTAATGGTATTGATTGGATTTTCTATTGCATCTTCCACAATCAATAAAAATCAGCATTGCTTTCAATTTTGTTGTTAAGACCTTCTATCAATTCTGGTTAGGCCAGACACATCTTTAGATGGCAGTGTTTTAGTTTAGCCTTTCATGGTATCTCGGTTATGTTTAGTTGGGTTTTTTTTCTTGAATTGTTTGAAATTAGTAGTGTACTTAAATTTTTAAAAAGTGAATTTTTAGGTTGTATGCTTTTATGGCTTGATATTGACCATTTTATAATAAATATTAACATTAAATAAATAATATTCTTTTTTTTTTTTGCCTTACCTCTACAAAGTTAGTGTGCAGATCATCCAATTGGAAAGTAAATGGAAGCTTAGTTATATCAAAGAGAGCACCCTCCATTGAAATAAATCCATTTAAATTACTTTTGCATTCCACAGGATGAAAGTGGACAGATGCAGGATCGGGAACTGGGAGACAGCTAAGCATCCCCTCGGAAGGTTCAGTCTAAAACAAAATATACAAAGACAGTAAAAATATGAACTTATACCATAAGTACATCTAGGTTTATTATAGTTATTCTAATAATTTACTATTATTAAGAAAGAAAATTTCAACAGGAATGAAGAGCAAATAAAAAAAATGCTCTACTTAAGGGTAAAAATATACTATATCAACCATAAATTAATTCTTTTAAATTGTTTCCATAAAAAATGTCCATAATTCAAATCTTTATACCTCATTTTCTGCAGTAGCCTTCTCTAGAATGTCGGCCATTTTCTTCAAGCCATCTTCTCCTAGCTTTTCGCTTTGTTTTTTGACCCGTTCCTTCTCCTTGCTCGCCATACTGTCTGCCAATTCTTTACTTGGCTTGCCAACTATCTGTTATTACACATGAATTATTAATATTAGATTCTCATAAATTGAATTTTTATCATCATCATCATCATCATCATTATCATCATCATCATCATCCTTCACTGTTAATCACATCCATTAAGATGCATACAAACCGAATCCAAATTTTTATATCAAAAAGCCTACTGAACAAATCAGAAAAAGGAATCGGTGTGTAAGAATAGGGATGCTGGCGTTCAACGCTTTTAAAACGAGGTCCGAATTTTGATTCGTATCCAAAGTGAATGCTGCTGAAGTGATTTTTTTTAAAAGCATATCAGTCTCTGTTGGAATTTGAATCCAAGCCCTATCTTAAAACCTACTGTGTATTGAAAACAAAATCCAGTGTGAACACAGCCTTATACACTTACAGTCACTGATTTTGCCTCAGTCACATATTTTCGAAGAAGGTTGACCCAGTACTCTGCAGGCTCCTTGCCAAGTTTCTTAAAATCTCCAATTTGATTAAGACGTTTGTTTAACTAAAAAAAAACACATAGCAGAATTTAGATTAGAAAATTATAAACTTTATTAGAAATTTAGAACAAAGAAATTTAAAAACATTATTAAAACTTAAGAAAGTTGGTAAATGTGGGACTAACATATAGATATGAATATATTTAAAATTAACAAATAATAGAAATATACAAAATTTACTTTATTATTAATTTACTCTTAAAATATTAATTTTTTAATAGAAAGTAAAAATTCATACGTAATACCTCTTCTGGAGTATTGCCATACAAAAAATCTCCAATACATATAAAAGCAAATGTATCATGAGGGCGCTCTTCCATGCTGTTAAGCGAGTCCAAGATTTCACGGTGAATAACGCTCGTCATCCTGCTCATGTCTATAGACTCTTTTCCAGACACAATGTCTCCAATAACAGACAGCAACCTGGAAATACATCAAACATTATCATTATGTTATACATATTATTATATTGCATAGATATCTTAAACTTTATTTCATTCTCTTTTAGTAAAGACTTTCACATCTGTTATAGCAAGTTAATTGCGCCTTGTTCTTATTTATTAGTATTAATTTTTTTAGCTTTATCCCATGCTTCCAGTCATACTATATTTGTGGGAGAACATTGGACTGGCGCCTTCAATTATGATATTGGCTTTAATAAACAGAGAAAAAGAAGAATAAAACAAAATCTTGCCTATCATTTTTGAGTGGTTGTGGACTAGATTTTATTTTTGAAGAAAATTTGTGAGAATTTTATAGACGAACATGTTTGAATCCAATTTACCCTCTTAGAGATTTCCTTATTTTTACAATGAAGATATCAACATACTATATACAATTTTACAGTACTGAGCATTCACTTACATGAGTGGTTAAACTAATTATAATAATTATTGTGCTCAGCTAACCATCAAATCTAATTAGGTTAAGCCCCAATACACATTCATTTGCACCATCTTCAAGGTTATTTCTTGGGAAAATTTCAACCATTTAAAAGTTGAACATGTACGCACTTGTTTACGTGCCTTATTAATTAAGCATCATGTTAGGACTACTGTAGATAAGGAAATGCGTAAGGTTTCGTACCGCCATGGACGTAAATTTAACAGCTTTCTACGTGAACAAGCAATAATCAACGGAACGTGTAGGAACCCTAGCCATATAATCACTAACTTAACTGGCGAAACATTATCTAAGGAAGAGGAATCTGTCTTAACATTTGGTATCCGTAATGGATTAGCAACACGACCTAAAAATTCTGACATGTTTGTTTGCGCAGAATCAATTTGGGAACAACTTCATAATGCTGGTGCTCTACCTAAATCATTTATTAAACGTGAAAAGATTAAGAACTCAATTCGTGTTATGACATGTAACTTTCTTTATTTTGATAACCGCAACTTAAATTGTGATGCCAAACGTATTAATACTCTAAAAATCCTACGCAAGAAATATGTAATTCTTAGACCTGATAAAGGAAATGGTGTTGCGATAATGAAGAAATCTGATTATATTACATCTATGACCAGCTTGTTCTCTGATTCAACTAAATTTAAGAAATTGTCTACCTGTTCATTAACCACACAGCTTAACTCCTTACAAGCCTACCTTCGAACACTGTTTAACAGAAAAGAACTAACCGAGGCTGAATACAAAGAAATTTGTCCAGTAGCAACCATGCCTGCTAGAGCTCATGGTCTACCTAAGTTACTCAAGGATTTTTATAATATCCCACCTCTAAGACCTATTATTGACACAAGCGGCACTTGTTATTACTCAGTAGCTAAGTTTTTATCTAACTTATTAGGGCCTCTTACTGTTAATGATTTTACCCTTAAAGATTCGTTTGATGCTGCTGACCGCATTAAAGGTATACCAGATCATTTATATAACTTAGGGTACCGTTTTGTATCTTTTGATGTTGAATCTCTGTTTACAAATGTTCCCCTTACTAAAGTAATTAATATAATTCTTGATAGGGTTTACAATATGAAATTGATATCTACTAATCTTAAGAAAAATACGTTAAGGAAACTACTTAGGGATTGCTGTACTAAAACTGTATTTACGTGTAATAATGAACTCTATAAACAAACTGACGGCATCTCAATGGGCTCACCTCTTGGACCAGTTTTAGCCAATATTTTGATGACTGAACTAGAAGATTCTATTGTTCCTAAATTTATAGAATCAGGTATTATTAAGTTTTATACCCGTTTTGTTGACAACATACTAGTGCTAGCTAAACCTAAAGATTTTCATCACATCCTACGTCACTTTAACTCTTTTCATAAACAGATTAAATTTTACCTGTGAATCATTTGAAAACAGTGATATAATACATTTTCTAGATTTACAACTTGACAAGAGCACAGGAAGCATGAGTATATATCGTAAAAATACACATACAGGTCAATATATCCATTATGATAGCTTTGCCCCATGGAACCATAAGATTTCTTGGATTCATAGTTTAGTTTCAAGAGCCCACAAACTGTGTACTCCTGATAAACTTCAAGCAGAACTTTGTAACATTAGAAAACTTATGTTATGGAATGGGTACCCTTTAAAAGTTGTTAACCATGTACTCAATAAATTAAATGAACCTAAATGTATACATAGGCCTACTGATGATAGCTTGATTAAGATCTGGGTTAGATTGCCTTATCTAGGAAAGGCAGGTGAATCAATTTTACGTAGATGCTTAAACGAAGTAAAGAAACACTTTTGTTAAAGAAGTAAAATTCATAACTTTATGGCAGTACAAAAATGTCTCTCATTTTATATCTACTAAAGATCAAACCCCTAAGGAATATAGGAGCTCTGTTGTTTATCATTTTAAATGTCCAGGTTGTAATAGTGACTATATTGGTAAGACAGATAGATGCCTAATAACTAGACTTAAGGAACATTCTTCACGATCTGATAGTGTTATAAATGATCATATACAAAATTGTGAGGCATTCCAATATGTATTATGTTTACAAGGTATACTTGAAAATGATAATGTAGCCTGTAATAAATTAGGTTTAATATTTTCTAATACTAACATTATTGACAGTTCGCAAAATTGGTCTATACTATTGTTTAAAGAAGCGTTTGCTATATGTAGACTACACCCATTGCTTAACAATGGGCTGAAAGCTTCAAAGGAGCTTTCTTTGTTTTTGTAGGTAGCTTTGATCAGTAGAGTAAGAATGCTTTGATCCTTAGTTTATTCATAGCTATGTCACCTACTAGGGGTAATGTTTTGATTGGTCAAATGCTTTTGGTACTTTTTTGGTGCATATAAGCTTGCAAATATGGATACTTTTTATTCCTGATGAATTAATGTTGAAATATTGAATCCCGACACGATGGCCTGCATTTTGATACTTGGAGTATGTATTATACTATCTTAAACAAGTACAGTAAGTAGAATGTACTTATTGACAATAATCGAATGAGTGATAATTGATTTCCATAGATTAATAAAAACAACAATAACAAATGATAATAATAATTATATTTTACTTTTCTCTTATTTGGTCAAGCTTTCCAACTGGTGTATTGTCAAACTTAATGTAGAAACAGGCTTCGCTATTCTCTATTATAGACTTGCGTACCTGGAATGTGGAATGATCAACACTGATATTACTTTTTACACTCACTACAATAAACTTTGAATATAATTTATCAATACAATATAATTTATATTATTAAAATTGTGATAGAATGTAAGGTAGGAACAATGGTTCATGCTACTGATACTGGGAAAAAAATTATGAAATTAGACAAAAATTACATAATGATAAGTTTAATACTGTTACCTTGCTACAGTATGGATCTTTTATCTCAACAAACTCCCTTTGCAAAGGTGAAACAGCAGTGTCCGTCAGGTATTCAAGGATAACATTTAAAGCCGACATCTCATACAGGTCCTAAAAAATGAACAAACCACATACACATAAACAAAGAGAACATTAGATAATACAGGCTACCATTAACTTACATACAATGTATTGTCATCTAAAGATGGGTTTCCAAATATCTAAAGCTCTGTCCAGACTATCATGTGACATGCCTAAATATGGTCATGATGACATCACATCATGACCATATATAGGCACATAACAACTATATATGGACATACAGCAGATTTTTGTCACATCAAATTTGATAGTCTGGACAAAAATTTAGGTTCTCTCATGACATTTTGACACTGCTGACAGCTCAAGTACTGTATCCTGCAGTTGTCTATATACTGGGCACACAGTGGCGGAGTTCAAAAATAGAGGGGGCCCAGGAATGGATTTTCTACAGATGGGGTTCTAGACCGCCACAGCTCCAACGATTATGATTACGGCACCTCTAGATGGCTGGAAATGGCACTCTCTAACATAAATTTGAAGTTTTTTATCCATTTTTAAAAATAATGTTATGTTCATGCACCGAAGTAGAAAGTCTAACTTAACAATTTTGATATTTTTTATGTTTTATTGTTGAATGGTTTTTAATGATATTACAGTCTAATATGACCACAACATAAGGAAATCCTCTCCTTTAAACTTCTAAGCTTTGCAGATCTAAATATACATATATATTTCTTAAATCAAGTCCACTCATTAAATTAGTATATATAGTATAGATAATTTTGTCTGTCAATCTCAGATATCCAAATTTTAGGAAATTACGTTTTATGCATGCACCAATATGAGAACTTTAACCTAATAACTTTGATATGTATATGTTTTATGTTGTTTGTTGAATGGACTTCTTTAATAATAATATTACAGTCTAATATGACCACAACATAAGGAAGTCCACTCTGTAAATGTTTAGCATAATATTGTACAGAGAATTTTGATTGTTTATCAATATCACTATACACATGTTAGATCCAAATCACGTTTTATGCAAGCACCGACGAGGAAAGATTAAACATAAAAATTTTGATATGTACACGTTTTATGTTATGTGTTGATTGGTCTTAGTTAATAATATTACAGTTTAATGGCTAAATGTATTACAGTTTAATGGTTTCCAATAATATTACAGTTTAATGGTTTCCAATAATATTACAGTTTAATGGTTTCCAATAATATTACAGTTTAATGGTTTAATGGCTCCAGAACCCTGAACCCCATACCTGGGCCCCTTAAAGTTGAATTTTTTTCTCCATTTAAAAAGTAATTCAAAAAAAATTTTAGGCCGACTAGCAACTGGCATACATCGCTGGAGTTTCGGTCAGTTATTATTGAAAAGAAACCTATGAAACAAGCTGAATGCTCTGCCCTTAAGTTTTACTTACATTTGTACTGCAAACCATTGAACACCCTTACCTGGGATTTAGGTCCTCTCCAGCCAATATATACCATGCCATTGGTTTCATCATCAGATGGGTATGGAATGGTTTGCACCACTGATTCTAGGAGTGGTGGTACTGGTGACTGCCACGGTCGAGTAAGCGGTGGCAGCTCCCCCTGTTAACAAAAAATCCAATATTGACATTACTTTCATATTTTTCAGGAGTTAAATATAAATGTATTCAAATTCTAATTTATTTAAAGTACATGTAAATAAGGAGAATATAGTCATTAAATTACACAAGAATATATAGAATAAAATACATTATAAAAAAATGAACATATTAATTAACCTTTCCAATGATCTTATCTTCAAATTCTTTCAGTTTTTCAAACACTTGTTCTTGTTCCACCTGCCCGGTGATAATCAAACAAAGATTGTCTGCTCGATAGAAATCCCGATGATAATTTCGCACTTTCAAATTACTGGTGCTGTCTCGAAGATTTGCCATAATACCACCAGTCTCAGACTATAAAACAATGTATTAATTTTGCTACAATAAAATATGGTAAAATAATTTATGTGAAATATACAAGATGTATAGTGAATTTGAAATATTTATACACTTTATACATAGACTTGAGGTCAAGATTTAGTAAACAAATTAACTAATTATACCTTGTAACCACACACTCCAGGATACATTGCCCTCAGTAGCTCCAAATGACATCTACTTTCACCCGAGTTCTCGCGAGCCTGCATCTCGCAATAGACCACGCCAGCGTCTTCTCCTTCACCGTTGATGTGGTGAACTTCGGTCACATACCCGGCATCCTGAAACATTAGGTTATTGTGAGACACTTTTCAAGCTGAGCCAAGAAGACTGATACTAAAATTAGGCTTAATATTTATATAATAAACTGAATTCATCATTATCATTATAATTTTCCATGGATAAAAGAGTAAACTGACAGCTATCAACTAAGATATATTAAAATTAGAATATTATAATAGTCATCGTTTCAACTTAGTTATCAATTATTAGATATCAATATTTAAAATACTCAATATTTAACACTTTTTCCTCAAAAAAATACCATGAATATAAATTCATATTTATGTTTCACAAACAATCATGAAAACTGTCAAAATATATTCACAAATGAAATCTAAAATCATGTGTATAAAGTAAACAGCCAAGCACTTACAGTAACAGATTTTAAAACTTTAGAAAAAGATAAATAAAGAATGAGTAGTAGTGATGAGTATAGTAGTGACTGACCGTTAAAGTTGGATACAATACATGGTCAAGGTAAATAGGCATCAGATTCAAGAACCCCTCAGACCCAGCGGTCATCACTGTATAGCAAGTATGGTCAGTATCAGTCCATGCGTTTGTACCTTGTGCAAGACACCGATTGGCCAGCATATCCAAAACACCCTACAATAATAGAAGTAATGGTATGCATACACAGAAACACAAAAAATTCTTATTATTATCAATATCAATATTGTTATTGTCATTATTTTTTGTTATTATTATTTTTGTATTTGCATAAGTATAATTATTATTCGATCTCGATCAATATGACTTACATATTTGATGTTATTGCTAACGTCATTAAAAAGTCATTTTATATTTATTAAAATTTTATTAATGGTCACATTATCTCTATCATTTAACATAATTAAAGTATACTGTATCCAAATGATAAGAATTATACATTATTTCCATTTGGTGAGTTTTTTCTTCATTTTTATCTTTAAATATATACATACTTTTCTTTTCTTGGAATTATGTTATGAATAACATTCATAATATATATTACATAAGAGTTATAGAGCTATTTTTTCCATTTCTCATGGGTCCCAATGTCATAAAAAAATTTGAACGAAATCTGAGAAATTGAGGTAAATTTTTGGTTGATTTGACAAGGAATTACCCATAATGCACTTACTTTAAAGGGATACTTTTCACTTCCCAAAAAGATAAGATGCTCCAACGTGTGAGGCAAGCCATCATCATCATGCGCTTCAGTTGCTAAGAAACAATATTAAGTTGACATCAAATATTTATAATCATATTTGCATAGTAGGCTAAGAGTATTGTGTCTCTTCACTGACCCGTGAGCTCATAGTACTATGTTGCCAGGGAAACAAAGTATAGCTAAAGAGTATAGTACCCTGCAGGTTTCACAAAGCTAAGAGTGAATTTGTTTATTCATTCTGCTAGTTCAATGTAGTGTCTGCAAGAAAGCTATAGTAGACCATGTTGAAATTTTCTGACGCACATTTCTTAACATAATTATCAATTAAAACAAACATGAACACCTAAAAATAACTATGCTATTATCTGAAATCAGAAAATTATAATGTTAAATTTCACATATGTCGTATGTTAATGTGTAATTTCCAAAAACAAACAAAATATAGGTTTTTTGACATAACTCATTAGATTTCAATAAAATTATTGCAAATTAAACATGGTACAATAAGCCTAAACGGGAACAAATGCAAGTTATCAGAGTCTCAAGCCTGGCTTGACTCACCGTGGGTCAGATTTAAAACCAGGCTCGAAATTCTGGGTCGGTCACACTACCTGAATTTAGTTGAATTGACCTCCAAATTAGGAAAGTCGAAACAGGAATTTAGAGCGCCCCCACAATCAAAATACCGGCCCCGCACGTGAATCTAGATGATCTAGGCCTAGGCTCGGATGCAATGGCGATGCTAGTTTTCGGATTGATAAATGCATTTATAAATGACAACTGATGATTGCGCCTTATTATAATACACACATTATGAAGAACTCGCGGGTTTTTTATTCAAGAACTTCTAAACGCGACGGTATCATCGACTGTGATTGGTCGACAGCCGACGATGAAATGTCAATCCTGGTCACGCCAGGGTCAATCCAGGGTCAATCTGGGTGCTGAGCCGGGATCGAGATAGGTAGATTGAGATCGAGGCGCCAGGTGCGGTCACATTACGAAGATCTCACCTGCGGTGAGTCAAGCCAGGCTTGAGACTCTAGTGCGACCGTAGCCTTTATCTTATCAGGAAATAAAGACAAGAATTACAATATGGGGAAATTGATAATAATAATAATAACAATAATAATAATAAAATAATAATAATAATAATGAATAATAATAATAATATTGATGATGATGACAAGGGGGCACCATCCGACGCCACTCCAGCGTAATCTCCTACCTAGGTGACTCGAGCAAAGGAACAGTATACACATAACAGTATACACATAATTAGTTAAAAGCCTACCATAACATGTAATAACATTGTAAAATAAAGGCTGATACGACTCAGGGCTTAAAAAAATTTGGCCTAGAAATCCGTTCGCGCATTTCGGAATATAAGTGCCGATTTTGCCGAAAATTAGGCTATGACAATATCTTAATATATAACCAATGCAATTATGCAGCAATTACAATTCCACGTACATATTTTCCTGGAGATTTTCCGCGCAAATTTGAGCTGAATTTTGAGATATCCTCCACATAATTAAAAAAAGTATAAACAAATGGTCTGACCTGACTGACACCGTTCATTATTTTTAAAATTAATTATTCTAGTTCACCACTCGACTCTAGCAGTAGGGCGCTTGCTAGGCCTAGCATATTATTACACTATAGTCTATATATCTAGATCTACACGTTACTATAATAGTGTGCATGTGGCCTAGCCTAGGCCTATCCTACGTAGGTACGCAGACCAAACAAGAAGGCCCCGCGCGCCCCGTTCGTGCTGTTCATTCAGGCCATAAATGGGCCTAGACCTAGGCCCTAACTAACACAAGCTATTTTTTATCAGAAAAAAGTTATTAACTCTTGATAAAACTCACCCAGAACAAAGTAACCATTTACTAAAGGTCCTTCTACTTGTGCAAGACACACAGTTAGTCCAGTACGCTTAGATCTGTACTTGGAAACCAGTACCAGATCGTTAGCAACCACTGAACAAATCTTTTCAAAGGAGGCCGCCATGATGTTCAATCCCTTTAAATTGATTGAGGGCGCTGGTCAAGACGCAAGTGCGGAGCGCAAGAAAGTGCCATTGGTCTTGTATGTTGTTGTTGTTGTTGACGTTAAAGTTTAACGTGATATCAGGTGGTTTGACGCGATTGACGGTAGGGCGTATTATGTCCGGATAGTGTGAAACTTAAATTTCGGTATGGCGGATTTTGTTCACGAGTTAGAACAAGCAGCACAGATTATTTTGGTAAGGTAGTCATGATATCTTGGCTATATTAACTTTTTCATGAAGTCGTGACCTTTTTAGTTTATTATGAATGTCTAGGCTTTCCCTGGTTTCTCGGAATACTAGGCCTAAAAACGTGGTGAACTTTAGGCTAGCTAGGTAAGCCTAGGCCTACACTCTAGCCTAGCATGAGGCCTAGGCCAACTCACTAGGGCCTAGCCTAGTGTACTATAGCCTTGGTTAAGCCCGTGTCCGTATTTCGTATCCTTCTGCTTAGCCTCTCTACTAGTGCCTAGCCTACCTACCTAGACTAGCCTTATTAGTCCCCTCTAGGTAGGTCAGGCCGACTAGCCGGTGTAGGACCGGTTCGGCCGTACACTTGTTCGGCCGTATGATATTCATTGCCGAAGTAAGGGTTATTGTATGGAACGCCGTGGAGTATATATTCAAAGCGTGAATTGGATGTCACTGTACTGTACAGTGCAATGT